GAACCTCAGCGGCCTGCCTTCTGGGGCGCGGCCCTGTGTCAGGCTCCCTCTGCACTCTCGGTACTCAGTGTGCTTTGACCGAGGCTCTGTAACTGGCCCCCCGTTCTTGCTTTCATCATCCCTCGGCTAGCTTGTTTGTTTTTAATCAGATCCAGCATGCATTCTTGCTGCTTCCATTGAGCCAGTTCCAGGAGGGCTGTCTTCCATAGCTTTTCCCATTCCGGGTATCTGGCTTTCTCCTAATCATTCTTTTGTTGCTGGGCTGTGTCTGTGCAGTTTCCAAACCCTGCTCCTCCCCACTGGCCCTTGCGCCCTCGTCCTCCTCCGTCTGCCCCGTCCGCTCCCCACCTCTGAGCAGCCATGCTGTGGAGCTTGGAACGTCACAGAAAGGTAATGGGGGGTCCTTGGCCTGGGCTCCTACCTTGGCTTCACACTTCGGAGCTGGGTGACACTGAACCTGCCGTGAACCTCTCTGTGGCTCACCTTCATCTTCTGTCAGGTGCAATGGAAGTAAACCGCCAGTAAAGTCAAGAGCTTGATTTGTGCCAGGCAGAGCCACACTCGGGGCTGACAACAGCCCTCTCTCAGAGGACCCTGGCAACATGAAGACAACTGACTGCATCAAAAACCTTGTAACACAGCCTGGAGGCTAGCTAGAGCTCAAAAATAGTGTGTGCTTATTTCATTTTATTATTATGGTTGTTATTTCTATAAAAGATGAAAGCCCTTTGTTAAAAATGTGACATTGACTTTTTGAATCTCATTATTAATCATTTCAGAAATTGTCTAACTCTTCTTTAAGTGTTTGGAAAATATTCCAATAACTTTGCAATCCCCAGGAATTTTCTTGTTAGATTAATATTAGTTGTTTTTATAAGGTCTAAAAGGTTAAGAAGAGTTTGAAAAGCATTAGCAGGTTTTTCAAGTTTTAGTTATTTCCAGTGTTCTTTTTTTTTTTAAGATTTTGTTTATTTGAGAGAGAGAGCGAGCATGAGTGGTGGAGGGGCAGAGGGAGAAGAAGACCCCCCACTGAGCAGGGAGCCCAGGACTATCCCAATTCGATCCCAGGACCCAGAATTATGACCCAGGCCAGAGGCAGATGCTTAACCAGCTGAGCCACCCAGGCACCTCTATTTTCAGTATTCTAATTGGATTACCAGACTCTCAAATATTTGAATCCTACCTACATGTCAGCAGAGGAACTTCTTTTTGGAAAAGGAAAAATAGTTGGACAAATAACTACTTGTTTTGTCCACACCGGACAGCTTCCATCACTGCCTTACTTGTTGAATTAAGTTAAAACACAGACGTAACGTGTTTCCTCTTTGTGAGGCAATATTCTATTTATTGAGGAATCAAAGATATATAGGAGATTGTTTTTGCCCTGAGGAAGTTTAAAACCATGTTGGAGAACTCTGCTGTCTTCCCACTGAAAATCTCTACCTCCCAAAACTGAGGCATTTTTTGGTATACTGTGAGAACTAAATATTATTTTGGGCTTTGGAGTGGCTAGACAACTAAACTTTATCCAGTTTATCATCCCTGGAATATGTTATTAATGGGGCTTTGAACTGAACCAGTGTGATGGTGCATTTGCACCATCTGGCAAAGGGACTGCAGAGATCAACACCGTTTTTTATGAGAAGTCAAAGAATTAAGCATTGATCTCAGAACCATGGATGCAGACTGAGAGAAATATGTTCTATACATATCACTGGAACTACTGAAATCTGCTCGGAGTCTTCAGACTCCCCTTTCCAGTTCTGCCCTGGACATTCAAAAAAATATCTTGATTTGAAAGGAAAATCTCAGTTTTTGGATTTCTTCCATGTTTGTCAAATTTTAGCAGGCTCTGAGAATTTGCTGAGATTCTTCATGTGTTTCGTGGCATCTGAGCAGATAGGGATTTTTTTTTTTTTCATCATCAATTTCTAGTTCACAGGAAGCTGGAGTGTTGTCAGAGTGATTATCACATCTATAGCGCCTGCTTATTCCACCTTCTGCGTCCATTCTCCAAGTAGGACTGTGTGCGTGGGATAGCCTCATAGGCTTTATTGATGTACAAGATCAGGGGCCAATCCTGTTGAGTTTTCAAAACTCCTGAATGGTGATACTGATACTAACAACTGTATATTGAGTTATTGCTGTGGATTGGGCTCTGCACTCCTTCTGTTTCCTTAAATCTTTAGAGTAGTCTTCAAAGTTGGTGCTATTATTGCCAACGACAGATGTAGAAACTAGAGCTTAGGGAGGAGAAGTCATTCGCCAAAAATCATACAGCTAATAGATTACATCTATCTGGCTTTAAATTCCATGTTCTTTCTTCCACAGGCTTCTGGTTCCTCATGGAGCACTTTAGGTATTGAGTTTATGACTATTTATATTTCTTCCTTCATTCATTTTTGTTTCTGCCCCAGTCCTTCGACTTTCCTGTTCACGGACATATGTTCTCTATCTACTAGGTTCAAAGCGCTGTGTGAGGCATTCTGGTAAATAAAAATATAAGTATGACCCAGCTGCTGCTCTCAAGAATTTCTAAATTGAGTCTGAAGATCAGACACACACACACACACACACACACACACACACACCACAAGTCCTGCCCACACTCCGACCAACTGCAAGAAGCGCATGGCAGGCAAAGATTGCTGGCATTCAGATGAGAAAGAAACGCATTACTTTTATCAGAAGCACAAAAGTCCCGAACGTCGAGAGAGGAATTTTATCTGACTGAATTCTTGAACCTCCTTGAAAAGGACACACTATGGATAAAAACCTCAGGGGACATTAGGAGACTCATTCTTGACTGTTTCCCCCTTGTTGCACAGCTCCTGCCCTCCTGCTCAAGGGTACTCAGATCTTGGTGTTGGTTTATTTGAAATGACTTAGGCTGAAGGCTCTGTGCGATTCCTAGAGTTCTGGCTGAACACTGAGGCCGTGATAAATAGTGATAGAATGTCTGTTAGTCCAATTAGAATGGAAAATAAGTATTGTCAGCTCTTACTGCCTAATGAACAACCACAGAATCTCAGTGCCACACGTCAGTGAGCATCCCGTCCAGGTCAGCTGGGGGTCTGTGATGCTGCCCCTCCCCTGGAAGACTCTGCCCCCGCTGTGGGTGCAGGGGCACCCGGTCCTCCCTGAGGCTGAGCGCGGGACTGCGCCCCGTGCACATGTGGGGCCCAGGCTGAGGAGGAGGAAACTACCCAGGGGTGCTCTCTCGCTGACCACCAGCCAGTGGCACAGGTACATTTAAAGGCCGTGATTCAGTCATACTGGCCAAAGCCAATCACACGATGGAGCCCAAATCAAGGTCAGGAGGAGGAGAGGAAAGGAGATAAAATCATAAGATAGGTGATCTAGAATGGAGAAAAGTCTAAACACACCTGAAGCTGATAGTAAGATGTCAGATTCTCTGTAATAGGTAATAGGGAGACATTGGAAAAGATTATGTAGCAAACTCCAGAAACATGTAAATAATGGATTATAGGGAGAGATGAGTGGTCAGGGAGCAATTGCAAAGCTAGTATAATGATGAAGGCTTAAAATGGGGAGATGGCAATTGAGAAGTAAGGGAGCGGAAGATGTGAAGGCTATTTCTGAGGCAGAATTAGTTACTCTTAGCATCTCGCTGGGTGTAAGCGTAGGGCGGAGGAACCCAAGGCGGTGATACTGAAGCCTTCAGAAGACATAGGAGGATAATCAGAGTTGTCGGTGGGTGGGGAGGGCTTGACCCGGGATAGATACTGTGTGGGAGGGCAGTGATTTGACAGAAATGGGGAATGCAGGTGGGGGCAGGCTAAGGGGACAGAGATTGACGACCCAGTGACCACAGAGCTGGGAGGACAGGTGGCAGGGACAGCAAGCATGTCCATGTGACAGAGGTCTGGGGCATGGGGTGTGGAAGAGGCAGAAATGGGATTGAGACCCAGAGGGCATCCTGTGACCTTCTGAGTCCACAGTGGTGTGTCCGCAGGAAATCCTGATGCATAATGGGCACCACTCTTCAATATTTGCTGGTGACAGCTGTGGCGCACTGGAGGGAGGATGGGGGCCAGTTAGGACTGTCATTAGCATCGTTGTGCGTGCATGGTGTTGTTTGAGCATTGCTGTGATGCAAGCATGACTACAGGTAGTTTGCGGATACTGAAATTTTGGGGGTTTAGTGAGATAATGAGGTCCTGGCTCTGAGGGAGGAGGGCCAAAGACAGATGAGTGATTTTCTATCCAGTAGATACTCTGATACTGGGTTTGGATCTCTGGTAGTCTAGTTATAGTCCTAGCAAATTATCTACTTCAAACTTTAATTCTAGTTAATTCTACAGTCTTCTGTTCATACACATCAGTATATTGGTGCAGATGATTTTTGTAAATATTCACTGATTTTGATTGTGATATTGGATGGGATGGCCTGGGGATGCTCCTCGCTTGCTTCCCCATCGCTGTGGGGATGTGTTTGCTGGTGACATAGGGGGTGCGTGTGGAGTCTACCATAAACACAATTATTTTAAATTGTAGAGAAAAATGCTCTGTAATTGGCAATAACCAACTCTCTGTGCTTTTTAAAAAGGAGATGGATGCTGGTATTTATATTTGATAATTGGGAGGACACATCACTTCTGAAGTAAATCAGTTTTAAAAGAATATTGCTTTTCACTGTGCTTATGTATGCAGTATGGTACATTTCTGCCCTACCCGATCTCCTGTTGCCTTGACTATTACTCTAGTTTTCTGTTGCTGTGGTCCATTTGTGCCCACATTTCAGTTTGTGGCCCCAGCACCATGTTGCCTTTGTAGCCCACACACGTACTGACAGGGACAGTGTGTCCAACTCCATAGTCACAGGTGGCTCTTTTCTCAAGTTCCATGACTGTGTGCACCCTTGGACCCAAACAGATTTTAGGCTCTTCTGCATACTCTGGGATTGAGGACAAGTTAGACCTTACTTGGCCTTTTAACACTTGCTCTTTCTCGTCTGTTTCTGCCTTGCACCCACCTAGAGCTGTGACCTGGATCAGCAGAGCATCGTTCATGTCGTGCTGAGACCCTGGCGCAAAGGCCAAGAAAGGGAAACCACTGGACAGGACGGCCCAGGAACCGCCTTGGAGGGCTCGGAGAAAGAGCCTGAGAGCTTGACGCGCGTGGACCTCAGCAGCTCCATCCTCCCGGCCCGCTCTGTGGGTCTGGCTGTGATCCTGAACAGCGACTATGCGGGGACCCTGCCAACTGGAAGGCCAGGTAATTGTGCAGACTTTGTCTACTCCAGTAGAGCGCTTTGTGCAGCAGGCCTCCGCAGGGAAGGCTCTCAGTGTGTACATATTCAGTTCATGGTAAGTTCTAGATGCCTAGAAGGAGGCATCATTAGAAGGATGGCCCTTGGCTATAAAATTTGAGGTGAAGGCATTTAATAAGTACAGTGGAACAGGGCTTTCAGATTAAGAATGAAGGGAAGGGATGGAGTAGATGTCAGGACATGGTAATAGTGTTTTGTTTTATTTATTTATTTTGAGGAAGTAGGGGTGCTGGGGATGTGAGACTTTGCGCTAGGGTCAAAATATATGATTAAGGTACATATATGTCCCTCTCAGCTTGTGCCTTTCTTTTCTGTTTCTTATTTTCTTAAAGCACATTTTGGTTTATTATGTTTCTGATGATGTGGGGAAATTTTAAAAAGCAGAAAGAGAACTTTAGAGGCAATTTTAGTCACTTGCAGGTGCTAAGGCAACATACTGCAATGTCAATAACACGCTTGTGTGAAAGGTTCTTCCTTCGCTCCACATTACAACGCATTTCAAAACTGCTTTTATTTAGCAAGGATGGCAATTCCTTTGCTATTTTGCCAATATTGATGTGTCTTCCTTAGTCTTTTATTTTCCAATTGAAATAGTCAAAGATATAACAGGATTATTTTTGACTGTGTGTGATGGGAAACACAAAATAATAGCAATGACTTTATAAAATATAAGTGAATTTCTCTTCTACATACTATAAATGAGAATATAGGCAGTTCTAGGTTGTTGTGGCTTTCACAGTGTCCGAGAGTTTGGGAACCAGCAAGATGGAGGCCTAAAATAATATGAAATATCCCTTGCTAATTTCACTAAGTAAAATTTAATAAAGTTTTAAAAATCATAGATGAGATTACAAAAAGAAACAATTTCCAAGGACAAGTGGACAAGTAGAAACAACACAGTTGTTTTTAAATAGAGGAATGGACAAACTTGGAATTTAAGTGCATGAGCTGATATCCTGGTGGTCTTGAGGAGGTTGTGGAGGGGAGGAAGTCTGTCTTTTACACGCACTGAGCACTTAGGAAACTGGAAAAAAAAATATGTGAGAAATTGGAAAAAAATGCAATACGTGGGGGAAAATGAGATCCATCTAAACCTCTGCAGTACCTTTGTGATCCAGAATGGGAAGTTAATATAAATATTGGACTCAGATTTATAGTGCCTCTGGTGTTTCAAGCAGAGCATATATAAAAGCATTCCTAGAGAACATTCAGGTAGCATGGCATCCACACCTCCAGAGGGAACCAAGCCCTATTCAAGGGGCACTCATCATCAAACATTACAATTCAAACAAAGGGATATTCTGTCATGAGTAGAAGTTAAGCGTATACCATATACTGGAAGGTTGGGTTCCCCTGAAACTTGAGAAAATAAAATAACAATTTGAAGCAGAACACAAAACAAATACATTTTATGTTAATTAAAGCATAAAAGAAAGAATTGAAACCTAAAACAGAAAACAAGTATATTAGAAGAACTATTTTTTTTTTTTAAAGATTTTATTTATTTAATTGACAGAGAGAGAGACAGAGAGAGAGGGAACACAAGCAGGGGGAGTGGGAGAGGGAGAAGCAGGCTTCCCGCGGAGCAGGGAGCCTGATGCGGGGCTCAATCCCAGGACCCTGGGATCATGACCTGAGCCGAAGGCAGTCGCTTAACCAACTGAGCCACCCAGGCGCCCCTAGAAGAAGAACTATTAAATAGAATATAATTTTAGCTATTGGAATAAAAAAAGGCCTCAGTGGATGGGTTAAAACAGCAAGCTTGGCAGTGCCAAAGATAAAATTTGTGAACTGAAAGATAGATATGGGAAATTGTCCATAATGTGGTACAGGTTAAAATGTAAACCAATGGTTTTAAGAGACTAGGAGTTTGGCCACTCTGCAAAACAGTGTGGAGGTTCCTCAAAAGTTGAAAATAGAGCTACCCCACGACCCAGCAATTGCACTACTGGTTATTTACCCCAAAGATACAAATGTAGTGATCTAAAGGGGCACGTGCACCCCAATGTTTATAGCAGCAATGTCCACAATAGCCAAACTATGGAAAGAGCCTTGATGTCCAACAACAGATGAATGGATAAAGAAGATGTGGTATATATAATACAATGGAATATTATGCAGCTATCAAAAAATTGAAATCTTGCCATTTGCAATGATGTGGATGGAACTAGAGGGTATGATGCTAAGTGAAATAAGTCAATCAGAGAAAGACAAGTATCATTTGATCTCACTGATATGAGGAATTTGAGAAACAAGACAGAGGATCATAGGGGAAGGGAGGGAAAAATGAAACAAGACAAAACCAGAGAGGGAGACAAACCCTAAGAGACTCAATCTCAGGAGACAAACTGAGGGTTGCTGGAGTGGAGGGGGCTGGGAGGGATAGGGTGGCTGGGTGATGGACACTGGGGAGTACATACATACATAGTACATGCTATGGTGAGTGCTGTGAATTGTGTAAGACTGATGAATCACAGACCTGTACCCCTGAAACAAATACATTATATGTTAATAAAAAAATTAAAGAAAAAAGAGACTAAGAGTTTGGAAGAGATGGCCAAACATATTTCTGATAGGAGTTTCATTATAGGAGAATATAGAATAGAAGAGAGACCGTTTTCTAAGAGAATACTGAGAATTTTCCAGGATGGATAAATCTTCTAATTCAAGAGTACATGGTCCCAACCATGATAAAACAAAACAAAACAAAACAACACACAATTGGTCTTAATCAAGATAAGTAAAAATAAATTCACTTTATAAATAAAGTAAAAGACCAAATCAAATGAAGAAAAGAGATTACTTATAATGGAACAGTAATTTGAATGGATCATGGGAGGCAGGAATAATAGAAGAAAAACAGTATTGGAGTAATGTCAAATGACTGAGGGATACACCTATCAACTTAGAGTTCTAAACCCAACATACCTAACAAAAATATTGCTCAAAAGTGAGAGGGAAATAAACACACTGGGAGTATTTGTGCTCAGTCTGAAAGAACTCATGAAGTTCTCACAACAGGGAGGAGTGGGTTTGATCCCAGGGTGATGAAATGGGATGTGAGAGATGATGCTCAGAAGATACAAGTGTAAATATGGATCAGTCTAAATGAACATTGGTGTAAAAAATAATATTGATTTGTTTGATGGGTACAGAAATAGGAGGGACTAAAGTAGTAGATAAAATGACATTTAGGAGAAAACAATGATCAGTTAACTTGGAAATATGTTCAGGTGTCTTTACTGATTACAAAAAAATTAGTATTATAACAGTCTTGTATCGCTGCATTCTACCTGATGGGCCAGTATTTAAAAGTCTAACAATATCCAGCATTGGTTAGGATCTAACAGGCAAAAAGCGTGGGCAAAAAGTGTGTTCATACATGATGGTAAGAATGTCATTTGATTCAGCCACCAGAGAGAGCTTCATAATAATTAATTCACAGCTTCATAATAATTAATGAAATTCCTGATATGCATATTCTGAAACTCAGACTACATGAGGAGACATCTAAATAGATGACCATAATAAGACCATTGGAGTTTGTGAAAAGATAGAAATGACATAGCTGTCTTTAAATAGTAGAATGGATAAATAATCAGTGTTTAATTCTTATAATGGGTTGTAAATTGCAGAGGAATGTTCAGTAAGATACAGTTTATGCAACATTTCAAAACATAAAGTTCAAAACAATTATATTTATTGTTTATGGTACAATAACCATATAATATATTTTGTCTAAACAGGATATATTTGAGAGTTAAAATTTACAATAAATATAATTAAGTTTTATATACCATTGAAATATTTACTTATGGATCAACAAATTGGATTCATTATTTTAGTAACGACATAAACTCATTCTTCAAAAGGATTTAAATTTTTTTTTCAAAAGTTAAAAAAATTCATGTTCTTTAGAGCAAAATCAAGCCTTTATGTTTATCATCTTAACATTTATAATATTAGCAGAATTTTATCCTTTGTACTTATTCACACATTTTAATCAGTTTCTTGATGTATCTGACTCTGCCGTCTTTGTCAGTGGTATTTACCTGAAGATTAAAAACAAATCTTACTGTTTTATTTTATTGTAAAATAGCCTTTAGTAATCTTTAGCTTTATTTTATGATGAATAATTTTGGAATTATTGTCACCTTCAATTGATTGTCTCTCTAGACCATAATACTTTAGTTAAGAAAATACTATTTCACTGTAGGAATTGAGAGAGATACTAGTAGGCTCTCAGAAAATTCTGCTAAATGTTTAATATGTACTTCATATTTTTAATTGAAATGTATAATTCTTTCAATCCAAACAAGAGATTAAATAAACTCTTACAAATGTACACAATGTGGTAAATGACACCACCACCATAGCTGGTGCCTTCAGATTACTATATGCCCCATGATGAGACTTTAGTTCTTGCATAGATCTCAGTTACATCAGACCTCTCTCTGATCATCCTGTTCTCATTGACTGTTCGCTGTGTGTATTTTGCAGGGCTGGGGAATGGCCATGGTACCACTTGAGGGTGCACCGGGTAGCTGGCAGGGGTGGCATCCTTATGTTCTTCTCCCATCCCCCACCCCCAGACTAGGAATGAGCCCTCCTGGAACCCTGCTTGCTGTGTGAGAGGATGTGCTAATTACGTAGAATCTGGAAAGGGTAGGCAAAGGAGAGATGGGTTATCCCAGGTCAACTTTAAGACTTAACTCTATGTCAATATAGATTTATAATTGAACTACAAAGAGTCATCCCTTCGTCTTCAGATCTGGGAAGAATCATCTCCTTTTTAATCATCTCCTTAAACCTTCTACTAATTTCAATTATGTATTTCAGTTCCTCTGCATATACTTCTCATTGAGGACAGGATATCTGTCCAGTTTATTACAGTTTCCCCCCAAATGTCCTAGAAGAGTGATGATAAATGTTTACTAAATTACTT